TTTTTCATTCTCACACATGTATATGTATATTTTCAGCGGGGACTAAATTAAAGAAGAGGTTAGCACGAGGAGATCCTGGAAAGAACCCATTGGATCGTGCTGCAAGAGACCACGATATTGCATACGCCTTATACAAAAATTTGAAAGACAGACACAAGGCTGATTGGATTCTTGAGAACCGAGCCTGGGAACGTGTAAAAGCACCTGACGCTTCACTAGGAGAAAAGACTGCAGCTTGGCTAACAACCACCGCAATGAAAGTTAAGCGAAAATTGGGTATGGGGCAGAAGAAATCATCTTTTCGACGAGGTGTTCTCACGAAAATCACAAAGTCCTTGAAGAAAAATGCTCCCACCACCACGACATTAAAAAAGTCTGCATTGGTTGCTCTTAATGCGGCAAGATTAGCGGTGAAGAGTGCAGGTGGAAAACATAAAGTTCGACTACCGAGAATAATTCCGATCGAAGGAAAATCTGGGGGATTCCTACCCTTGATCCCCCTTTTCGCCGGATTAAGTGCCTTGGGGGCGCTCGCAGGGGGAGCTGCAGGTGTGGCCAAAACGGTCGTTGATGCCAAGAATGCACAAAAGAAATTGGAGGAAGACCATCGCCATAACAAAGCTATGGAGTCTTTGGGCAAAGGATTGTATTTGAGAAAAAATGCTAAAGGTGGTTATGGGTTGTACCTCAAAAAAAAAAGTCAAAAAAACTAAACATCAAGCTACCCAAGAAAGCGCTTTATGATTATGAAATAAAGCAATATGCGAAGCTCTTGAACATACCTCATTTCCGAGGTGTCTTCATGCGTGACACTTTACCACGAGACGGTCCACGTAAAAGAGAATGCGCCGTCGTGAACTTAGATATTTCACAAAACAACGGAACTCATTGGGTAGCTTATAAAAAGATAAACAACAACGTTGAGTATTTCGATTCATTTGGTAACCTGAAGCCTCCACAGGAACTTGTTCGATATCTGAAAAACGCTAAAATTTTCTACAACAACGATCCTTACCAAACTTATAATCAAGTTAATTGCGGACAATTGTGTTTGAAATTTCTATACAATAACAATAACAACAACAACGATGGATAATAAAACATTATCGGAATTTACATTAGAAGAGTTTGAGAAGAATATTCCGCCGCTGGAATATTTAATAAGCAATGTGAGACCTGCAGAATTGTTGAGTATATGGCACAAACTGCCTGCAGAATACACATCCAATTTTGATCTTCAAATACGACTTCCATGCTATGTTCACTACAACAGACCTGATTGGGCAACACATTGGGATGGACCGGCTACTGCTCAAGCAAATTGTTATTTCTGTAAATTATCCATTCGAAAATAAACAAAAAAAAAACTTGAATAAATGCTTAGTACACAGCTATATTTTTTCATTCATCATGTCGCAGTTGTTGAGAGTCAATAGCACTACTCATATATTTTCATTTCGTCCTTCAACACCGATAGTGTTGGATCCGAAAAAAGATTATGAATTGGCGCTTAGGTCTTCTACTTCATACAATTCCATACCGAATATTGAAAAAGGAGATAAATTTTATTATATCGACCGGATAGGTGGTGGTGGTGGTGGTCAATTAAAAGTCATCGAGTTTCCGACAGGTTGTTATGAAATTACAGACATAGAAACATTTATACGAACGCAAATGAATCTTGAAAATGAAGTTGCTCCTCCGGATGATTATTTTTCTCTAAAACCTAACAATAATACACTGCAATGTGAAATCTTTAGCAAGTATTATAAAATAGTTTTTACAGAACCGAATAATCTTGGACATCTATTGGGATTCTCGAAAAAAGTTCTTAATCCTGGTCAAAAGCATTCTTCTGATTTACCTGTAAACATAATAAAAGTATCAACCATACACTTTGATGCTAACATTACGTCGGGAGCCTTTGACGGAGACACGCCTGCACACACGATCTACGAATTTGCTGTGACAGCCGATCCTGGATACGCTATAGTCGAAACACCTGTAAATTTACTATATCTACCTGTTATACCGAAACAAGAAATAACCAACATCACAGTGTTGGCTTTAGATCAAGACGGTCGTCCTGTAAACTTTCAAGGTGAAACTAGTACTCTTGTGTTGGAGTTGAGAGCGAAGCGCAGATGGGATTAGTGATTATAAGACATAGTGGTGCTTCCAAGGCAAATTCAGTATTACCCCAAGCACCTAAGCGACGACATCTACTACTAACTACATCAAATATCCTGTTTCTACGCTCACTTGGATATCATGTCAACAACAACAAGAATCATGTACAAAAAGAGAAAAACTGAGGAGGCAGCAGCAGCAGCATCACATACTTCTCCGATGTTTGATCTATATCGATCTCCAGCATTCGATGAATCTATTCGCAAGGCTGAGTATAGATCTTATACGCCGTTCATCAAGTCATTTAATTGTAATGATGTTGTGGAATTTAGCATCAATCAAGTAGATTCGTTCTTTGCAATGAACGCTTCCCTTCTATCTATCAAAGGGAAAGTTGAAATAACTGGAGGAGGAGGAGCAGGAGATGTATCTTTAGCTCCAAACTTTGGTGCCTTCCTATTTGACTCTTGCACTTACAGTGAATCCGCTAGAGAAGTTGAAACAGTACGTGATCCTGGTATTGTAAGTACTGTCCGAGCTTACGTATGTTACAGTGAGGAAGACTCAAATCATATGGCTATAGCTGGATGGAACTATCCTTCAACACCTATAATGGCGTCAACACATAACAAGTCTTTTAGCTTGCTAATGCCGCTTAAACATATTTTCAACATTTTCAATGATTATCCTATGATTACGTGTGGCAGACAAACTCTCAGATTTGTGAGAGCTAGAAACGATAACGATTGTATCATTATCAAGGAAAAAACTGGAACGACGACGACAGCGAAAATAACTATTGAAAGCATGGAACTGAAAATCAAACATATTTACCCGAGTGATGATGTGAAAGAACAACTTTTGAAAGCTATTCAAACTGATAAGCCGATACTTATACCATTTAGAAAATGGGATCTGAACGAACTGCCTGCAATTACCGCAGATGCGAGAAGAGAAATATGGTCAGTTAAAACTAGCACCGCAATCGAAAGACCACGTTTCATTATAGTATGTTTCCAAACTGGTAAACGTGACGTCGCAACCTCAGACCCTACCCTGTTTGATCACGTGAATGCTGCTAGTATTCGAGTATCTTTAAATGGTGAATACTATCCCAACGAACGTATGCAATTGGACTTTGCAAACAATCACTTTACTGAAGCTCATTTCAACTATAGCGACTTTCAAACCAGCTATACAACTTCTTCTTCTCCTCTGAAGAGATGTCTTTTAGATTATACCGCTTTTAAAAATCGCGCTTTGTTTGTTATTGACTGTTCCACACAAGAGGAAACCATGAAATCATCAACTGTTGATGTTAGATTGGATATCGAAGCCGATACTGGCTTTCCAACCAACACCAAGGCCTACTGCATCATTATACATGACTGCTTAATCGAGTACTTCCCCCTCACCGAAGTTATTAAAACCATCTCGTAAGCAACGAAGGACTCTCAGTTCCGCATCAGACATCATGAGGATCGCGTTTGTTGACATTCAAGGCTTTACAGTTGACGGATTATTCGTACCTAAAGAACTATGTATCGAAATTGGTTTCAAGAAAAGTCATTACATCTTTACACCTCCGCAACCTTTTTCTACATTAAATACTAAAGACAAGAAAACTGTCGCTTACTTGGAGAAGAATTTCCATGGGCTTAAATATTCTTCCGGCGACGTTAAATATTCCAAGTTAAATGAAATAATTAAAAATAAGGTGATATATGCGGCTGACTATGTCTACGTTCGTGGAGAACAGAAAGCAAACTTTTTACTCAAGAAATGTCACATTTTTGGTGTTTTTCCCAACATTATTGATGTTTGCAAGTATGATGGTACACCGTGTGCTACTGGAAACTTTGTTGCTGATTCCAATCCATGCCACACCAACGGACAATTTTACTGTACCCAGAGAAATGTTGAACGTCTACGCCACTGGTTTTCAAATATCATATTACCTATGTAGTTTTTTCTATTTTCAATAAAATATTAAACGTATTATTGTAGTTTTATTGAAAATACCTCTGGTTTGCGAAATAATTGTCAGAATGTCTATACTATTTTCATTTTGAACGGTATCATCCTGTATAATAATAACAGTACATCGTATACAGGTTATGAGACATTCTGACCGACCGACCGACCAGAGGAGCCCACCACGCTATTTAGGTCACGCCTTGCTATATACGATTTAACGATATACCGTCGGTCCATCGATCCGCTATTTTTCGATGCACCCCTGTATACACGTTGCCCCCCGTAATCCACGCCAACACCAGACAGGTGCGACATCTGGCCATCTATGCGCGAGATGCCCAACCCATCAATGGCAGCTGTCCAATGACACATAGATTCCGTTAGGTTTGTACACCGCCAAACAAATCGGCGCCATCTATGCGCGAGATGCCCAACCCATCAATGACAGGTGTCCAATGACGTATGACAGATGACGTTTTAACGCCATCTATGCGTGAGATGCCCAATGACGCATGACAGGTGTCCAATGACACACAGATTCCGTTTGGTTTGACAGCGCCATCTAGCGGCGGAATCCCCAACTCATGAATTTCGATTACAGATTCCGTCCAACAACCTGTCAATGGCGCGCGACGCCAGCGCCTCTGGTGGCGGATTTTGGAACTACTGAGATCGAATCCCCATAAGACATCTACTGATGATGATCCTTAACAAGGAACAGTGAATTCTATGCCTCTTTGATTCTTCCGTAAGGGGTCCTCATATGTGTAGACCTGTAGTGATTCTTTATCTTGAGTACCGTAATCAAACCCTTAGTGGTAATTCTATACTATACAGGATTACTGAAAAGATTTTGAGATTGTCTATCCATAACTCTTAATTTTTACTTCCAGCAAAGACGTTCGCTTGCCGATCCAGCTACAACGGGCTATGGCTGCCGAGGCTGAGGCTGCCCGCGAAGCTCGCGCCAAGGTTATTGCTGCTGAAGGTGAACAAAAGGCTTCCAGAGCCTTGAGAGAAGCCTCAGAGGTCATTGGAGATTCTCCCGCAGCCTTGCAGCTCAGATATTTGCAGGTGGGTATACGTGAGACACGAAGGAGCACCACGTCTGGTCATGTCTGGTTCAATACTGCGTTTAGACAAATCAGCAGAGGCTTTTCTGCTATAAATGCTAACAGAAAATCGTTAAAAATTAAGTGATATTATGTTTGTTCTTTTAAATAGTATGAGACGTACTTAATAAAATGAGTATCAATATGCGCCAATTCAAATCATCTGGTTCAGCTACAAAAACCTATTTTTCATTTGATCTCAGAACCAGGAAAAGAGGCTAATCCGAAAGAAGGCTTTCATCACTGCTCGAACCGTGGACCAAATACCTAGATTGATATATCAAACACCGGGCATTTTATAAAAAACAACAGTATCACTTACAAGAGACAATTTTGGCAAAATAGTATGTTTTAATAAAATATATTATGTAGATATATGACCGACTATTTTCCGATATACTTGACTAGCGCACCGACCATATCTAGGCGATATTTATGCAAAGATATTAATATTGGCAATAATCGTATTTATAATAAAGGTATTTCATTATCCATGTAATCTATGTTTGCTTCTGTAGGAAAAAGCACTGTAAACAGCCCTCTTTATATTTGAATCCAGAACAGCCTCTTATCAGATGTAGGGTGCTGCTTCATCAAATTAAATCATAAGTGTCACAGAAATATGTATTTATCATTATCTTCAAACACAGTAAGCAGGCGCAGGAGTGGTAGGTTTGGCAATACTACAGAATAGCGTTTCCACGTACGTCTTATTCGAAAGCGTTTCACTCAATTATTTGGGACCTGTATAATGTGCGACGACTAATAAGCCAGGCAATTAAGCTCTAAACACATGTAGAGAATACAAATAGTAGGAAAGAAAGATTATTTCGCAGGGCAGTCGAGTGAATTGAATGTTTACCCGATGCTTGTTAAAGAATAAATATTCTTTAAGGTTTTCAAAGAATCTATCAAGTAAAATTTTGTACCGCATTGGCAAAAACAAACGATCTAATTTGACTGACTTGCCACAAATCGAGAAAGATAAAAATATCATAATTTAGGAATTGACGCACTCTTCACCTAATTAACTACCCATAGGTTCTGAGGTATCGATGTTTGTTTTGAATTTGGTTCTATTATTTACAACCTGGGTAATATGATACCTGTTTCTGACTGGTCCAATTTGCTATGGGTCAAATTTGGTATTGGAATCAAAAAATACAATAGACTTGTGTAGTCAAACCAAGTTATTTATGAAGGATTTCTTGATGTAAGATGATGGCTAAATTATATTCATTGTAGCATTTCAAAACCGAATTCGGATTGCTCGAATTTGCTCCGTATGAGCATATTATGGTTTTCCGAGTCAATAGTAAAATGGGTTCTAAGAGATGCACCTTTTCCATATAGTTACAAACGAGTTTCTTTTAGCATATTTTCATTATAGTTACCTGTTGATTAGTCACCTCTCGGAAAGTCTCAGAGTCATGATTGCCTTTACCGTACCTTATCAAGGTAGTATTATTTCTCTACTAAACTGAGTGGCAGCATGTAAAAACACTTTTTTTATACATTATTTAGTTTCTTTCATTTGCCGCTCGGGTCCTTTGCCTTCTTTAAGGAAAATGTCGACAGGCGCTAGAATGGTGACCGAAATAACATGACTTTGAGATCATTCTAATTGCGCAGTATTGAAAGACTAATGCAACACCGAATTCCTGTTTCATGTGATCTTCTAGCTTTTTGCACCAGTAGTGGTTTGAGATATTCTATGGTTATCAAAGGGGTTACATAAAAAGGTAACACGAGTTAATTGTGACGTAACATCACGACATATTACTGAAACAGGATGAACAATCCTTTAATCATAACGCCACCATATTCCTGTTTTTCCTAACATCCAAAGTTGTAAGAGGTACTGTTTGAAGGTTATGCTTAAAAAAATTACCAGTTATACGTATTGTGAATCGTAATTCTTGCAACAAAAATGTAGGATAGACCGAGGTAGATCGGATCAAAATGACCGTGTCAAAACATTTTATATTTTGATTGGACTTAGCAGCAGATTCGATTATTTGCTCCCAAGGTCATGTCTCACTTGATATATTCCATGGTACGTAATACCTTAAAATAAAACAAAATTTATACTTGAAAACGGATAACAGCTACCTACCTTTAGTCTGGTTTAGGAACCTAATATACGAAACACTTGAATAGAATATTTACTTACATCATTTGCCATGTTGCCAAATATGTTTAATGTATCCGCGATCCTCCACTCCGACTGTCTTTCTGGTCTGTTGTGGCTTAAATGAAGCCTTCACTCTAGTAAAATGAATCTGTTCTTGCCATGACGGTTTGGAAAAATAAAGACTAAAGTTTTAGTAAATTCATGGAAAGTGTCAGTAGAGCCATCAAGTAAGTAAAGTAAGACACATATATTGACAGTTAATATGTAAGACGATTAGCTTACATTGGCCCAACATTGCTAAAGATAAGGTGAGATATGATATGATCTATCAAACATGGCCACCAGGTATTTAAATGGATATTATTTTATACAATTTTGTTGGAAGTTGTCATTTAAAACTATCCTTGAACGCAGTGGGCACGTTTACACCATAGGTGACCAAGCGCTTAAATAGTCAGAGGCAACCATAGTCCTGTGCGTAGATGCTATTCTCTGCCCGTTTACACCGTGTGGTCTATGAATGGCTATGCGCCATATAAGGCTCGCGTAAACATAGCCTATGTCTCATAGCCACACAAACGTGCAGAGAACAGAACTTACTCACAGAACTATTGTACTCTGTGGCCATTTAAGGTTGGTCCTTGTGAAGATCAATCATGGATGCGTGCCTGTAAATCAGCAAGAATAAAGAGCTGAAAAAATATATTCACAGGTTTCGTTATAAATAAACAATAATGATGCAATATATTAAGTCAAAAAGATATTTAGGTAGGTTCCAATTACTAGTCATAGCAATCTTCTCATAAATCCAGGGCATTGATCAGAATAAAAGGGGTGTAGTGTTACTTATGTATACAAGTATGTGTAAATGGTCGCTAAGCAATGTTGCACCATGATAGTGACGGATTTACTTACATACATTTTGCATAAGTTTATGCATCCAAGGCAGATTATTATATAAGACATGCATTTGATGCTCCGAACGATTCAAGCTTAAGGTCTTTAAAACGGGAGAAACAGATTTTGATCAGCCACATGAGTATCATTGTTTATGATGAAGTGCGATACTGCCTCAGATAAAAGGTGAAACACATCCACTCTTCATTAGTATTTTTTTATTTGTGAAACTTTGCACAAGTTTCGTAGTATGCCACCACAAAATGCTGCTGACCTGACCTTGAGTATTTACAGCACGTGCCCATCGCTCCCTACTTTCCTCTATAATACCCACATTTGACCTGCTGTGAATGACACTTCCAAGAACTTCAGCGAATGGTTAATTTGTTCAACGATTTCGACGATTTATCGACCAGCGAGATACGTTGAATCAGGGACTATTGAATTTCAAGAACTGACAGCCATAATTGCTTTTGCCAAAGCAATAATACTCCTATTATAGATCAATTTAGTTGGATGCTACTAACAGTAATGTTGGCTGCTGCATTAAGAGCTGTGATTTTTTCATTTGGAATATAGTTTGTACATATAGGCAAATAAATATTGTAGAGTGAGAAGTTATAATGTACCAAATAGATCCAGACATAGAAATGAGATCTAGTCTGAGGTCTACGTGTATCAACCTCTAATCGAATTGAAATATTGGATATGTACGTATAGATTCGCAGACGAATGCTAAGAATACCTTGGTTGGTACAGATAATCAACGACAAAGTACTGACAAAGAATTGTTAAAGACTGAAATATAGGGGAATCCTTCATCTGGGTCATATACTGAGAGGAAATCGTTACAGAATACTACAGCCGATTTGCAAAGGGTGTAGAGGGAACACAGGCTTCTTGGCTGAAAAATACGTACGAGCGGACTGAAATACGGAGTGCAGGTTAAGCATTCGATATAGCAGAAGACGGAAGAGCCTTCGCTGTGGTAATCGCAAACAGTGCTAATACAAGGTAGCCGTCAGACCTAGCGATCTGGCAGCCAGTTGAAATCGTGAAAAATTATAGATCTGACTGACAGAAAATTAGTTTCTGTAGATGGCTGTCTGACTGATACTCGTATATCTTCAACTTAATGTAATCCATTTTACACATTTATATAAACTGTTCGTAAAATAGTGTCCGTGCTTTAAAATTACAAGAAAATGGACATTAATTTTTCATTATTCTTGCCATTTCTCTTATGAAAATTATCAACGCTCAGTGTCACAAATTATTTTTTACCCTTCATTCTGTATGGGACAATTTTACTTTTAATTTGAATCCAAGCTATCAACATGTAGAGAAAGATGTTTCATGACATAGAGTCCGTTGCGTTGATCTGTCTGGCTGGCGGCATTATGTCCGTCTTTCAGGTTTATATGATGTTGTCAATATTGCAATTTCACAAGTGCAAATGGCACAAGGATGAATCTAAAAACTAATCCACAGAGATCCAGGCTTTGCTGCTTCCTAGAATAGGTGTATTGTTAGTGCAAACAACTGGTGTGAATACCAAACTTCTAAAAATAAGCTAAACATATCTTACTGTGTAACACTTCCTTTCCGCAAAAAGTCCAGAAAAGATGGAATGCAATGAAGATTCCAACTTTTCTGCACAATCACAGAAAGGGGGTTACCATTAGCTTCGGGTAGCTCAGTCGGTGGCATGAAGACATCTTCAGGCGTGTAGCTGTGTGTCGACCATGGCATGGCTAGAGGATAGAAGAACAAACAGAACACAAAAATTTAACAGATTTTATTTAACAAAAAAAGCATTTTCATTACATTACAATTTTAAAGTTTTAAAGAACAAAAGTTTTAAACCTTTGGCGCTGCTATAAAACTATCAACTTATCTTTCGCTGCTCCATTTTGACTGGACTGAAGCGAGGATGGCCAGGTGCTTGAAGTGGAGGTCCCAGTTATGAGGGGTGACCTCACATATAGTGGCTTCAAAACCAGTTGTAGGCGAAGTTGAACTTAAACGCGATGGCGCTGCCAAGGCACATGCATGGGTGAAGTGATAGGCCAAGCAACGCAAAGTCAAAGACAAAGGCAAAAGCAAAGTCAAAGACAAAGGCAAAGGGAAAGGGAAAGAGAAAGGGGGTGGCCCCAATCTGAAAAAGAACCGTGTGCATTAGCAACGTGCCCTAATGGCCAAGGCATTTCCAATATCAGTCTGCCTCAAAAGAGAACCAACGATTTTCTAAGTTAGAATTACATTACATAGTTTGATAAAATCAAACCGAAAATTGGAAATGCCTTTCATAAAATAAAATCATGAAATAGCAAAAAAAAGCGTAAAACAAGATGGTGGTCATCAAAAATTTCTCCACATGCTTCTGATATAAAAACACAAATATCGAATATTCATAATCAACGTACTCATAATTTCACTGAACTATGAATATATATACGCACACAGAGGTAAAATCGATGTGGATCGATTTCTACCTCTATTTGATTAAAGTTATGGCGAATGATCGAAGTAGTCGAAAATGACGTTCGATGGATATTTTAAAATCGTACAAGAAATAAACCACTTACATATCGATTATCTATAAACTACAGGCAGATCCAGCAATAAAACTGTATAGTATTATAAAACTCACCATTTTGTCCTATTCGGACACACATTCTACAAAATTCTAGCACATGGTGCTATACGACCTCATGCTACAGAGAACAAAATTCTTAGCTCTTGCTAGATCGGCGGCTCAAGTGAAAAGGAAGCGCGAGGAAGATCGCAGATCAGGAACTCCTCATCAAGCGGGCTCCAAGCGGAAAATTTTCCAAGTAAAAAAGCTAGAGATGGGATTAATGAATTGCGATTCTGAAATGATAATCGAGAAGTGATTTAATAAATACAATCGGACGGTGAAACCGTTACACTCGCCCCTACTTAACCAGAAAAAAATTCGAAGAAGCATTCAAGAATTTTTTTTAACAAGGAAATTGAAAGTTATCACGGAAGGACAAATGTACAACCATTCGACCAGATAACAAGTAGCAAAAGTAAGGTAGAAACAAAAATGTTAGAAGAGAATTGGAAGAAAAAGGGATAGCCTCAAGTCTACCAAACAAGAGGGATGGTTATAGCACCAACTCGCTGAAAAGTACAGTGAAGTTGCACTTAAAAAAAACCTATCATCATATGATGAAAAACCCAAAACATAAAACATCGTCACACCTAGGACAAGAAAAATAATAAACCAAAAGCTTCAGCAGTAGTCCAAGCACGAAGTGAGGAATCACAATGGCATCCAAAATGCACGACTGACTACTAAAAACTTCAAAACTAAGTAAGTACCTAAACCATAAGAGGTACTAAAAAAATAATAATAATTTTTCTCAAAACAATTGCCAGATTATCTCGCAATACTCCAAACCCAAAAAGAGTATCATCTACAGTGATATTTTAAACCAATATCCAATATAAAAAAAAAGTGCATTACTATTTTCAAAATATGAAAATCAAAAGAAATTAACAAATTCCATTAGGAATTCAAGTCATATAAGAAAACAATTTACAAGTGCTGAACCAATGAAAACTTAATCACGAAGGTATTTTAATCAAAAAAGATGTTAACTAAGTGCAGTTGTGATTCCACAAAAAAATTGTCGGGCGCCAGCAGTCTGTAAGACTACAAAATAAGTCAAAATGTTTTCAGAGAATTAAAGTATATAAGAGACATTTATGAAATATTGAAGTAAGATTTTCAAAGTCAAAATATAGCTTAAGTTCAATCAATGAACTAAAATTCAAGAGTAAGTTCAATTAAGATTTTCGGGTCATGTGACAACAGACCAAAAAAAATTCTGAAGTTCAATATAGAAAAGGGCAAAATAAATTTCCAAAAAAACTAAGTGCAACACAAGTGCAACCGTATATCTAATAGTATTAAAATCATTAAGTGAAAGGAAATATCAAAGCTATATGAGCATGATTTTATAAAGAATTCTCAAAAAATACAAAAGTAAACAAAATATTAAAAGTTTCATGAGTAATAATTGAGAAACGAAGTGAGCATATGTAAAATGCAAAATAGCGAAACGAAAATCACAAGATATTTTAATAAATCATGATACATGAGAGTAATGCCGCAAGCAAAAATTGTATGCAAAAGTCTACGATATATGTAGGTGCAAAATTGGAGTTATAAAAAACAATCTAGTGAACAAGAAATAGAAATAAATATGATAGGTAAGAATTCGAATTTTGATTTAAAGCAAAAATATGAGAGAAAGACAACTTTCTAGGGTCACCATAGGTGCATTCCAAAGCCCTAGACAAGAATGTCTATAGTCTATAGAATATTCTCATGTAGATCACTGATATCATCAGCGCACTTCAAAGTCTACACTGAGAATAACCATAACATTGTAAAATGAAAGTTAAGTTCAAATATGAAATATTACAAGATTAGAAAAACTATAATAATTTACCAGTGTAAAGTATGAATAGAGAATTTACTACACTGAATCTATAATAATTGGCGATTACTTCAAGCCAAGACAGAAATCGAAATAAATAAGAAGTCGGAAAAAAACTATGAGAGCAGACTATCAAAACAAATGCAATAATGAAAAAGCAAAATCACCAGATATTTCAAAATCTATAGCGAAACATGAAAGCAATGTCGCAACCAAGCTCAAGACTTAGCAATACCCACAAATGTGCACAAAGGCTGAAAGCATATATGAAAAATCTCAAGAAGGAATTGACAATTACTTCAAATCAAATTGAACCGATTGAATTGAACTGAGACATAAATTAACTACATCAAAAGTGAGTTTTACTTATACGCCAGAGGTTTCAAGAGTTTATCAATACGCACAGATTTGCAACTAGGCGGAAAGCATATATGACAAGTCTCAAGAAGAAAATAAAATGCATATGAAGAAAACACTTTCAATTAAAGAAACTGTGGATAGTGCAAGACCCTCAAAGGCATACATCGCAACGAATCTATGTAACTATCCAGACTACAAAATACTGTCAAAGTTCAAAACCACTCAAAAATATGTGAACAAACATCAAAAGTTTGAACCAAAAATCAATGTAAGTCTGTGCTCTCGAAGAAAGTTATAATGAATTCAAAAAGAGGATATTATAAAAAACTTCAAAAGTAGTAGACTTCAAAAATAGAGGTACCTAAGTATGTAAAAGAAATTCAGAAAATATACGCATAAAAACATTATAAAATATTGTACACAGTATTTGTCACATGATTTTGCTCGGGAATGCAATTTAAATTTTGGGTACACTCAGAAAAATGAAATATTCAAAAGATGAAGTATACACATTAAATTGGAATCAGAAAAATAATTATGACTTGTAAATTTTGTAAATGGTGGACTGACGTAATGGTTCAAAAGGTTGAAAAAACAACGATGACAAATGTCCAAAGTAAAG